GCCTAAACTGCTGCAGCCAACGAACCTGCCGCCATGATCTGCCGCCATGATGACCAACGCACCGAACACCAACACGGCCAAACAACGTGGCAGCAATATCTCCCCTGCCGCACACGCATCATGGCCGCCGCTCTGGCTGCTGCCACCGTTAGCAATTAACTACGTCCAGTGGTAGGTGCATTGCAGTGTCACTCTATTCAAATATCCATGCTGCTGTTAAGTGCATGCGCGATGTAATTCTCGTGGTCACGACTGTGATGGTAACAGACTGTCTACCAACGGTCATCAAAGGCACTTCATACTCGATCGCATAGCGTTCCTGCGACTGAGTCATGCAGGCTGAGCCGCTGCCATCACCTGACACGCCAACATTAGTCAATCCAGAAGAGTCAGAGCCTGCAGTGCCGGTCCTACCCCGCGCACACCCCTCACCAACGCCGCTTCCATGGCCGCTTCCATGCAGGACCCTCGCCACTGGATGGCGTTAAATGCCAGCGTTGCATGGCTCTCTAGCCGTCCGACGACACGCCCGCACGGCTGGGTGCATCCCTTGCACTTGTGGGTTCGACTCCCACACCAGTGTAGTATATGCACGTATCGTCGTACTCGTGCCGCCCAGCCGGGGGACTACGGCCCCCTCGCGGGCGACCCAGCCCGCGTCTAGTGTACGGTGTACGGCATATTCTTGCCACGCGCGAAGCTGCATGTCTGTGTGGGTGTGGCGCAGTGGTTAGCGCATAGGTCTCATAGCTGTTATCGTGCTGTGACTTGGACTATCCTAAGGTCGAGGGTTCGACACCCTCCACCCACAACCGCTCGTGTTGCTCAGTGGAAGAGCACCCGTTTAGTAAGCGGGAGGTCTCGAGATCAAAACTCGACATGAGCAGCACATCGCTCTTGCGCGGGACATATCCGCTCTGGCTTTTCCATAACATGATCCATCCTGGTGTGTACGTGTGCGTGTATGTATGTGTGTGTACGTGTACACGTTGGTGCATGTGTACATGGGGTATTTGGTCGTAGCTAGCCAGAACATGCATGCCGGGACAGCACAGCAGCAACACGAAGGCGGCAGCATGGAATTATTCATCCCTTGCTTGTGCCTGTTGCTGGTCCCTGCCGTTGGACACGTACTCGTAATGCACGAAATGCTGCAGTCAGCCGTGTGTAGCCTTTTCTAGGCGTTTAGGGTTTCAAGGACCCTAAAAACCCTAGAAACACTAGCTATCACCGCAAAAAGCAGCTATTCAACGACTAGCATCGGTTGAGTAGATCGGTGAGGTTTTGGTTGTTGGCTGTGACCATGGATGGCACTCGTGCATGCAGGATCTGCATTTTCTAAAAGACACAGCGCGACGAACACTACAAATATGTAGCACATGTAGCCGACAGGGGAACGGTTGCCTCCACCTAAACCAGAGCCTAACAGGACACGTACATAACCAAATACATGCACGCAGCAAGCAGCCAATCACAACCGCATTGACGTGCCAATATCCAAGACTGCTGCCAGGTGCAACGTGAAGCGACCGACTAGTGGCCAGTGAGATGCAAGTGGGTGCCGACATCCGGGCCTAACAGGGGTGAATTTTATTGCCACCAGTGCTGCCGCCGCTGCACATGCCTGGACCAGCCCCCAGTTCATTGTTGTCGTGGCCATGCTAGCGGCTGCTGCATCAGCAGCCAGCGAAACGTTGCCATCAGAATCATTGTGCTGCATCCCTCTCGTACATGTGCTTTCGTTCAAGCCAAGGCTGCGTAAGGATAGCACCCACCACCCAAAAGCCACAAGCCACAAGGAATCAGCCAGGCGAGTGATTATAATCAGCCAGGCATTTACATTCATACTTGTTGAAGTCCCCTTACACCACCACAGATTGCGCGTCACGTCACGCTATCGGCAAGCAGGTATGTATGGTCACACAGATATGCATGGTCACACAGATGTGTATGGTCACACAGATATGTATGGTCACACAGATATACACTTCCTGGCCACATGCCCGGGAAAAATAAAGAGCTAATGAGGCGGGCATGCGTTGGCTGTAGATGTGGTGTATACGTATTTGGCCCAATCGTCGGGGGTGCGTGTGTCACCGAGCT